AAGCCAGTGTCCAATGCCCTTGGGAGCCACAACAACATGGAACCAAAGAAGAGACATAGCAGTGTACCCAGGGCGGGCCCAGGAGAACTCTGAGAAGACAACTGCTGTTCTTTCCAGCATGCCTCTGGCTTCATGGTGCCTTCTTTGACCTCTCCATTCACCTCCTTGTCATGCCAGTAAGGAAGGCCCCCAAAATAGTGCTTCTGTTGTTTGAGAAGGAAAGGGGTCTATTTGCTTAATGCCCTATTGCTAGGATATCTCATTATTAACTGGGGTTGCTAATATGACAGGTGTGTGGTGTCTGTTCTCCAAAAAATATCACAACCTCATCACAAAGCATATGGCTAGACAAGCACACTATGAGCTGCTGTCCTAGGCTGGGGTTCCAGCTGTCCTGGAAGCCCCAGAGAGAACGCTATCTCTGTCATCCTCAGGCAGACAGGACATCCAGGAGGCTTGTCCGAGGAGAGACCGGGGTTTGGGTGGGGGTGCCGCCAGACAGTTCATAGGCTCAGAAGGTGCATCAGAACAGCTGCAGTGGGGAGGGTGAGGAAAGGAGGCAACTTTGATAAGCTGGAGGGCAGCTGAGTACCTCATACATACTATTCTACTTAATTTTTGTAGAGATATTCTCATGATCTTACAAAGAGCAAAGTGACGCTGGTTTGTTTGTTTGTTTTTGCCTTGAAACAGGGTTTTTTCTGTGTCTCTCTGGCTCTTCTGGAACTCACTCTGTAGACCAGGCTGGCCTCAAACCAGAGAGCCCCCTCTTCCACCTCCCAAGTGCTGGGATTAAAGGCGTGCTTGCACGGCCACCATCTGCCCTGTGTGCACACTGCACACGTGCCCGGTGCCGCAGCGGCCAGAAGAGGGTGCTGGACCCTTTGACTGGAGTCTAAAATGGTTGTGAGCTGCCACATGGCTGCTGGGAACCCAACTCAGGTCCTCTGCAGGAGCAGCGAGTGCTCTGAGCCACGGTGCCATCTTTCCAGCCTTAGCCGCCGTGCTCTTTACGCCCCTGTACTCTGAGCTTCACCCAAGGAGGCCCTTGACAAAGCAGAACACAATATCCACAATATGTAATCTTACACGCAACATTTTTAATAATGTTTCATAATCTTACACAATATCAAGTCTTGTGATACGAAGTGGGACATATGTTACAACATTTTTTTTGTACCCCGAAAATGGTGACTGTGGAAAAGCCACGCACAGCATGACCACTTTTATTACAAACTGTCCTGGCTGTTTTTTGTCAACTTGACACACACCTGAACATAGCTTGGAATAGGTAATATTAATTAAGAAAGTGCTGCCGTCAGATTGGTGTGTAGGCAGGTCTGAGGGTGCCTTTTCTTGATAACTGGTTGCCGTGGGAGGGCCTGGCTCCTGAGGATGGTGGGGCCAGATGGCCCTGCGTTGTACAGGAAGCAGACTGAACGAGCCACGTGGAGCAAGCCAGGGAGCACACTTCTCCACGGTGTCCCCTTGACTTCCTGACTCCTAGTTCCTGCCCTGACTTAACCTCCGTGGTGGGGTGGGACCTGAGAGTCAAACTGAAATAAACCCTTCCTCTCCAAATTGCTTTTGGTCATGGTGCTTTATTATACACATAGAAACCCTGACTAAGACAAAAGCTACACCAGCCATTGGTTAGGTTATGTTCAGGGGATACTATTTCAATGGAAGAAAAGACTGGTTAATTGATTGTTTAGACTATGAATTTTGGCATTTTGTTTTTAAAAACGAATAAGCCAGCCTACTCCATTCATGGACAATTTCTAACATTTATCATTTTTGCTAATTGTGAAGTTTGATTTTTCAAGCAAAATTAAGACAAAAAAAAAAAACCTGTCTCTCTCAGCTTTCTACTGTGTAGTTTTTTCTCATGAGACTGATGGTAATAGTAGTAAGTTGGGGTTATTATATAATAATAATATATTATTATATTGGGAGATCCTTTTAACTCTTTGCATCAAATTTTAAAAATGTAGATGTTACAGAATCATGAGCAGGTAAGAGAGTCATTTCAAAGAATACGATAGAATAAATAATTTTAATGTAACAGAACAAAAATGTTTATTTGCCTCACTTTAGAATACATACCACAACTTTCAAGAAATTTAAGACTTACTGCCTGTTGAGTATGTATCAAAGACCTGTAAAGTCACTATAACACATGCCTCTTTACAGTTACGTGTCTGGCTGGATTTTCTTCATAGATATTAATCAAGACAAAGCATCAATAGATGTATAAACACAGAAGTAGATAAGGACACCCAGCCAAACATTACAGAGATTTGCAAAAGTATAAAAGTAACATTTTCAGTTTTACAAGTTATTTTCCTCATAAATATGCCACTAGTACTAAAATGTATTGGGCTTCTCACCGTTATTTTAAATAATAATTTTTATTCTTATTGTTTTCATTAATTTGGATTGTTTCTTCTGTGTGTATCTGTATGGGAGTGCATGCATGTGACTGTAGTTGTACTTACTGACCAGAAGGGGGCATTGTATCCTCTGGAGCTGGAGTTACAAGTGGTTGTGAGCTGCCTGAGGTGGCTGCTGGGAATAGAACTGCATCCTCTGCAAGAGAGTACATGCTTTTAACTGCTGAGCCATCCCTCTAGCCCCCTACTATTATTTAAAATTGATTACCAGTTTTGCTTTGAGGCTGTTTGGAACTCCTGATCTTTCTGCCTCAACCTCCTGAGAGCTAGGGTAACAGTCACCATCAGCTAAATTGATTACAAAGTATTATTTTTAACTGCCTCAGTTTCAGTTTCTAAATCCTCAGTAACTTAGAAAATGGCATTCCGGGACCCATGCTGAGCTAAACTGATTACTAAGTTTTATTTTAACTGCCTCAGTTTCAGTTTCTGAATCCTCAGTAACTTAGAAAACGGCGTTCAGGGACAGAAGCCTAAGAGTGAACAGCAACTGTTTGGTGGTGCTCTGTGCATCTTCAGGGATTTACAACCAGGAGGGAGGGGGCTGGGGGCTCACCCTCTTCTACAATCTCTAGGGAGACAGGCAGGCTGAACAGCTAGGAGCCTGGCTAAGCCCAGACACAGCTCAGCTCTGGAGACGGCAGGGCGTGAGCTCTGGGAGGCGGTCCACCGGAGACCGTGGCTTCTCAACAGAGAACGTCGTGGGTTGTGCGGGAAGGGTTAGAGGCTGGCTGAGCCGAGGGCTCCTTGGCTGGCTGACCCCTTCCCTTCCGCTGTTGTGCACAAAGGCGTGTTCCCGATGCCTCCTAGAAAAGTGGGGCAGTTTGGCTGTCCATGCCCCTGTCTGAACGTGCCTAGCTTTGCCAGCTCCTCTCGCCCTTCTCCCCATAGCTGCTTTTCTGTGTAGTTCCCGACGTCTTTGCAGGAGGATGTCTGTATCTTGGTGGGACCCTCCTCTCTCTGCTACTGTCAGCCCAGCGAAGCCTCTTTCTGGGGATCATCCTGAGAGGAGAGCAGACCTGCCTGCCCCGCAGAGAGCAGGGCTGCAGGCCAGGCCCAGTTTTCTTATGAACCCAGTCTGACCACATGCTCTAGCGTCCACCTCTAGAGGCAGTTCTCCCTGGGCAACTTCTGCACCATCTTTCTTTGAAGGCTCATTCATCCTTAGACACCCGGAGCTCTGGACTCCGCACTCCCTGTGTGCTGCCGTGTCTGCCACCCGTGCTCAGAACAGGCAGCTCTCAGGCACCACGGTGTTAGTACTCCTAGGTGTCTACCCGAAGCCACCCAGCTTTCCTTCAGCTTCAGGAGCGAGATACGGGTTATGTGGGTCTGCTTGTTTCTCATAAACCCTTTCTAGGTCTCAGAGGGAAAGGCAAACTTTGTTTTACTGCAGGTAAAATTCACAAACAACCAAAGCTGTCATCTTAACCAATTAGGGTGTGCCTGGTTGCATAGATCTATAATCCCAGCTATTTGGGAAGCTGAGGCAGGAGGATCTAAAGTTCTAGAGGGAATTCACTGAAGACACTGAATGAGCTCTTATCTAGAAGGAAAGAAAGAGAAAGAAAGAAAGATAGGCTGGGATGTAGATTAGTTTGTAGCTCAGCAGTAGAGTGCTTGCCTAGCATTCATACAACCCTGGCTTCAATCCCTAGAGTCACACAAAAGGACAAAAGGAACACTTTTGGTGATTTTGGGTTAAATGTCACACACCAATTATGATCTAATCCAAGAACATTGTCCCCAGACTCATAGCTGTCAATCACTCCTGCTCTGGTTCTTAAAAGAAAAATCTTTTAAAAGCTCTTAAAAATCTTTTTGGAAGATTCTTCATGTTTGTTTATTAATTTTAGTTTTATCATTAAAAACTAGTTTGAGACAGTCTCCCAGGGAGCTCAGCCTGGCCTCAAGCTCACTAAGTAGCTAAGGATGACCTTGAACTGCTGACCCTCCCGCCTCCATCTCCTAGTAGACCAGCACACCTAGTGCCGTGCTCGGGACCAAGCCCAGAGCCCTAAGCGTTCCCCCCCCCCCCCCCCGTTGAGCTCTGTCACCAGTCCTAGGTGTGTTCACGGGAGGTCTGAACAGTGGCGCAGGGAAGTGGAGGGGCCGAGGAGCTGGGAGAGTGAAGGCATAGGAATGACTGGCCATGATGATGCAGCGCATGTGTCAGCTCAGACCTCTTCTTTCTCCTCCTCCACTGCTTCCTCCCCCTCCTTCTCCTCTTCTGAACTCTCCATACCAAGCTGTCCTTAAAAGCACAGGAGTCAACCTGTCTCTGTTTCCCATTAAAGACACACAGTACCGTGCCTGGCAATTGCACATTTTTCTTTCAAAAAAACATCCTTCTGGTCACACTGTTGTTTAATGCCCCCAGAGTCAAGTCTGAGTCATTGGGCCTTCCTAGGTGGTGTTCAGAGGCTGAGCTGGTTTTGTGAACTCTCCTTTGGAGCTGAGTCTCCAAAGGCAGGTCTCTGCAGCTGAGCCCTATTGGGTGGATGGGCCCAGTGTGACGGTGTCTCCTCTGTTCTTTGTCTCCCACAGGGGTGAAGAAGAGAACCAAAGTCATCAAGAACAGTGTGAATCCCGTCTGGAATGAGGTACACCAGTTTCTTTTCCCTTCCTCCCCTCTGCCTCCGCTGCCTCGGCAGGGGGCTGACCCTTGAGGCAGCTTTCCCAGAAGGGAAAGCTCTCCCCTGAGACCCCGCCCCACAGGGTATGTTTTCTTTTGTTTTTCTGTTTTCCAGCTCTGGCCAGTCTGCTTTGCCTGCCTGATCTCCCTCTCACAGGCTAAAGCTACCTCATCTCCACAGCACTCCCTCACTAACTAAGTCCTCCAGCTGTTCTGTCCCCTCACGCAGCTTTCTGTAGATGCGGTTTCCATGCGGTCCTTCTGAAGCAGAGTTGAGAACAGAGTCAGGGCCCAGACCGCATGCTTGCTTTGAAGAGGGCAAAGGGGCCTCTGACTGGCTGTCCTTAACTCATTACTTACTCTTCCTGCCCGCTGGGGGCCTAGCTTGTGGATGACTATATGACAGGGTGTGTGAGGACCCTGAAGGCTCTCCTGGCTTCCTTACTCTTGTGCTTTTGTTCTGGTGTCCTGAGATGAGTTGGGAGGTGAGGCTACTGTAGTGTGGCTTCCTCTTCTTCTTCTTTTTTTTTTTTTTTTTTTTTTTTGTTGTTGTTGTCTTTAGCTCTGGAATCACCCCTAAAGCTCTGGAATTCTGATATCCATCTGTCATCCATCCATCCACCCATCATATATCCATCAACCCATCTACCTATTCATATATACCTTCCCACCCATCCAAACATCTACCCATCTACAAACCCACCAACCTATCCATGCAAGCAGCCACCCATTCACACTCCTACCTATCTTTTGCTAATCTATGCACCCTTTCACCCACCCACCCATGCACCTATCCACCCACGAACCTATTCATCTGTCCATACAATCAATCATCCACTTATCTACCATCCATCTTTCTGTTCATCCACCCATCTATCCATTCTCTTACCCAATCATCTACCTATCATCCATTCCCACCTAGCTATCTACCCTTTACCTAAGTGTCCATCTGTCCATGTGTCCAATAACTCCCCCACCCATCCAAGTATCCAGCCTTCAGACATCTTCCCTCCATCTCACCCATGTGGTCACTCCTTCACCCTTCTATTCACTCACTCACCCACTAATTAATTCACCCACCCACACTCACTAATCTATGGATCTGTATTGGTCAGGGTACCATTGCTGTGATGAAACACCTACAGCAACCTACAGAGGAAAGGATGTATTCGGATTCCACTTCCACACCTGTTCATCATCGAGGGGAGTCAGGCCAGGAGCTCGGGCAGGGCAGGGAGAGAGGAGCTGATGCAGACGTTAAGGAGGAATGCTGCTTTTGGCTTACTACTCTTGGCTTGCTCATCCTGCTGTCTTGTAGAACCCAGGACCACCAGCCCAAGGCCCCCACCCACAATGGACTTGGCCTCCCCCATCAATCACAAATTAAGGAAATGTCCTAAGGATCTTCTACAGCCAGATGTTATGGAGGCATTTTTCTCAATCGAGGCTCTTTCCTCACCAATGACTTTAGTTTGTGTCAAATTGACATAAAACTAGCCAACACAGCATCCACCATCAACTCCATCCACCTCCCCACCCGTCCATCTGTCTGTCCATCCGTTTGTCTGTCCGCCAGTCCATCATCCATCTATCCACCCACTCCATCCATCCATCCACACACCCACCCACTCACCCACCCACCCACCTGTCTACACACTCACCCCTAGAACCAGGCTTGTCTGGATGTCTGCTCAGCACCCTGGGGCCACAGGCTAAGTTGCCCTTTCTTCCCTTCTTCCAGGGTTTTGAGTGGGACCTCAAAGGCATCCCTCTAGACCAGAGCTCAGAACTTCATGTGGTGGTTAAGGACCATGAGACGATGGGGAGAAACAGGTGAGTGAGCCCAAGAGTGACATGGGAACTTGAAGGTACAGGTGGGTTGTGATGAATTTGGACCTTAAAATTAGAGCTCCTGAGGACTGGTACTTCATGTCACATTGGCTGAAGACTGCTTTTCATGGCCTGGTCCAGGGTGGATGCTGGGGTGAAACCTTGCTGTAGCCTTAGGAACTTGGCTGTCAGTGCTGCTGAGAGCTGCGCAGGCTGCAGGGGAGGGGAGGTGAGTTAGGGATCGAGTGTCCGGCAGGTTTTTTACAGGAGTGCAGGCTCTGGGGAGCAGGCACAAGCAAGTTCCCTGTTCTCTCTAGCCTCCCTCTGGGAAGGGGTGCTCCTTGCCTCTTCCTGGCTGGTGAGATAGCTACACACACTCTTCAGGAGGTGGGTACATAAAGAGAAGCTGTAGCTAGCAGGGAGTAGTCTAGGGGGGCTGCATGGAAGAAGCAGAATCTAAGGTAAGAACTGTGGTGCTGAAGTTGGAGCAGTGGTAACAGGTAGCAGCCTGTTCTCTCTCTCTCTCTCTGTGTGTGTGTGTTTGGATTTTGGTTGGGTTGACAAGTACAGAACTCTCAGAAGCAAAGTCTTACTGGCAAAAGCAGGCTCTGTCTAGGCATGTGGTGGGTGGCTTCCTTATTAAGGGCAATCGTCAACCTTGTAAATAGAGTGCTGGGCAAGACCTCCAAAGCTCGATGGGCCAGTTGGCTGCGTGTGTAAGCGGCCAGGAGACGGAGCCTGGGAGGATCTATGGTGACAGACATAGGTAAGGCTAGTGGGTCAGTGGTCCCTGGTGGGCACAACAGGGGGCAGCTGTGCCGGGTGGGCTCAAGCACACGGTGCTGTACACTGAAATCTGGCCTGAGGAGCTCGGGTTGGCTGTACACAGACCTGGCCACAGGGGAGCCTTTGTTTGGGAACTGGGTCAGTATCTGAGGTAGGCGTCCTGGTTATGCGAGCCTGGAATAGGGGAGTGGGGAAGGAGGAGGGGTCAGGAACCCAGGGAGGCTTCGCCACCTGCAAAGTTTGAAGCTAAAAGCTTGGAGAGAGAATCCAAACCATTACTGTTTCTTTGTGCTTCAAGCTGGCCCTGGGGGCATGGTCTGGCATCCCTAAGGAAGGAGAGGGCACTGTCCTGTGCCTCTGAAGTGGTGCTGCTGGGCCCTGCCCAGCCCATGCCTGAGGGCGCCCAGTGCATGTCTTGTCTTTTCTAGCCATGACTCTCGTTTACCTGAGAAGCTTACACATGACTTTGGGCATATAAGTATATATACTGGGTAAATTAAATATTTACTGATAACAGTTCATGAAGAAGTTTACTTTAGCGAGACATGGTGGTGTATGCCTTTAATCTCAACACTTGGGGGGCAGAGGCAGGCAATCAATGTGAGTTGGAAACCAGCCTGGTCTACAGAGCAAGTTCCAGGCTAGCCAGGGCTACACAGTGAGATAAAAAAAGAATTTGGCTTTTTACATTTCTAATTTTATGTATTTTACATATAATTTTACCATTTATTGAAGATGAAAGAGAATTGAAAGGGAATTTGCCTTCTGAAATGGACATGCTTTAGTTTTACCTAAATTAAGTCTTGGCTGAATATTTGATACTGAAGGGCAGAGCTGTTCAATATTTTGATTTTAGAATCATCAGTGTTGAGAATACCATTTCATTGAAGTACACAGTGCTAAATGACAGAAGGATGGCTAGGGCTGTTTTAGAAATTGTTGGAAATTCTGTCCTAATCTTAAATCAAAATTAAACATTTTAAAAATGAAATTCAAGTCAGCAACTCACACAGCAGCTGTTAAAAGAAAACATGCAAACACAATGCAATCTAAACATGATCCAGTACTTACTGTAACAGGACCCCAGTACAACTGGCTCCATGATGAAAATGCCATGTCAAACTCAACATGTAGACATCACCAGCCAAAAAGAAAACAGATGCCTAGTTCGTCAAAGTCCATAGTGCTGGCAGCGTCTGAAAGGTGCTTAATTTGCTTTTTGGCTTCTGTCGTGCTGCTTCTGGGAACTGTTCTTGCTAATGGAAGTATGTCGACCCAGAACGTGTTTATCAAGACAGGGATTTTCTGAGTAGAGCTGGCTGTCCTAGAACTCACTCTACAGACCAGGCTGGCCTTGACCGAAAAGATCCACCTGCCTCCGCCTCCCAAGAGTTGGGATTAAAGGTGTGGGCTACCACCGCCTTGCTCAGAACATGCTTTTTGTACTTGAAAGTTCAACCCAGAAGAGCTGCACTGGGATGCTAAACACCGGCCCCAGCACGTCGCAGCAGTCTTCTCTGGATGCCTGTGCCGAGTAGGGACAGTAAGAAAGTGGTAGGGAATAATGTTTTCTACTAGACCAGAAAACTCTGTACCAACACTCAAAAACAGACAAACAAAACCCCTGGGCTCTCCAGCATACAGTGGTCTTGAACCTGAGCCCAGATGTTTGAGGCAATGCTTGTGGGTTTGGCTTGGGTCGATGGCGTGTGTAATGTTAGGAGCATGTGTTGCGTGCTCAGAACCGAGGCTGCAGTGAAGCCATCGCCTGAAGAGATCCTGTGTGAGCACTGCTGCCATTTTGTTTCGAGTTAGTTTTTGATCAAGGTGGGCTCAGAAAACTTTTTCTTCCTTTCCTTCTTCTTTCCTTCTTTCTTTTCTTTTTTGAGATAAGGTCTCTCCCTACACAGCCCTGGCTGTCCTAGAACTCACTATGGAGACCAGGCTAGCCTTGAACTCACACAGATCTGCCTGCCTCTGCCTCCAGAGTGTCAGAATTAAAGGCGTGTCTCACTACAACTGTCTGGGTTTAAAAATATTTACCAGTGCCAAGTGTTTTGGGATGCCCACATTACACTATGAGAGGGTGTCTAACCCAAGGTTTAAGGAGCTATGGCTCACAGCTGTTAAGGTGGCTTACCAGGTAAGGGCTCAGCCATGGCACATGTGACATCTTTCTTCTTACATACACACAGTAAGTGATGATGACGATAAAGCTGTGGCCTTCACTACCACTTCACTGCCTTTGTGGAAGGCAGGCAACTCAATGAGCTTGAAGGTAGTCCAGGGAGGGAGCAACTCTAGACACTGGGCAGTCTGGAGAGGCTTTCTGGAGAGGGGCCACACTCAGCCAGGGCCAGGCTTTGGAGGGAAGGTAGTTTCAGTGTGTGTGGGTGGAGAGCGGTGAGTCCACATAGGAATTCAGAGCGGTGACGTTTGCAGCGTTGTTGGGAAGGGCGCTGCGGAGTCAGGCCCAGGCTGAAGTGGCAGCCATGGAGAAGCCTCCCTGTTGCCACTTAGAGAAGCTTAGCTAGGTTTCTGGCCCTGTGGAAGCTTGGTTTGTGAGGTGATCTTTCTCTACCCGATGCTCCTGCTGTCCTCACAGAGGAAACAGAGGCTCTAGGATTAGCTTGGTGAGATTCCCGAAGGCTTTGCCGAGGTTGTGTGTGACTGGAGGGCAGGTGTTTGTGTATTGCCACATTTCAGAGGCTCCCGAGGCCCGTGGCAGATGGCTTCTGGGTGCTCTGCAGTTTAGCTGCTCTGATGACAGGAGTTGGGTTTAGTGAGGCAAAGGTGGACAGCCTGGGTACTGCAGGCCGTGAGGGAATGGAGGTTTCGTTTTCATTGTTGCCTTTAGCACTGTCTGAGGGACCCTGGGATGTGTCTGAGATACCAGAGGTGGCAGGAGAGCAGGGACTTGGACACGGGTTTTGATAGTTTTAGTCAGTTCAGGGGCCGAGCTGGTCCTCCAGGGGACAGCTCAGGGCTCCCCAGAGGGGGCTGAGTGCACCCTCCATTGACCCCTGGCTCACCAGCTTCCTCATGAGCAGGTCACTGCAGGCCAGCGCACTGGGAAAGCAGTTCCTGAAACTTCTGTGTCCAGAATAGCCAGTTCACCAGGCGTCACAGCTTACCAGAACTTTCTGTGTCATAGGTACTTTGATGTGGTCTTTTACATTTTTCTGAGCATTTATCTTAGTTTGGCTCTTCTAGCAATTAAGAATTAAATTGTAATAGACCAAGTTTAAACTTAAGCCCATATTCATAAATATCTTCAAAAGGGAAGAGCTACCTAAACACCCTATTCTGTGGGGGAATTACCAGAGCAAGCACGTCTGTGGTCTCCGTGTCTGTACCGAGTCTGTGTCTGTCCCCTGTTTGAGGCAGCAGGAGGGGACAGGTCTCTGCACAGTCGTTCTGTAATGCCCTCATGGGTGTAAACTACCCTCACAAGCTTGTGAAAGAAAAGGAAGCTGAGCTCTGGGGCTGTCTCGGCTGGCAAAGTGCTGCACACGCTGTACGAGTGCGAGGGCCTGAGTTTAGCTCCCCGGAGCCCCAGAAGGTCTCCCACGACGGCACACAATCGTAACGCAGTGCTGGGGCCCGCGGAGCGGGCTTTCTGGTGCTCACTGGCCAGCCAATCCAGCCTAGACAGGAAGCTCCAGCTTCAGGGAGAGACCCGCCTCAAAAAAATAAGGTGGAGAGTGAAGAAAGTGCCCCAAATCAACCTCTGGCCTTCACACACACACACACACACACACACACACACACACACACACACACAC